ACTTTATATATATATATATATATATATATATATATATATTGATTGGTATATTGACAAGGTATATTGATTTCATTTCTTTCCCCCCTCCCTTCCTATTTTGTAATAATTATCTGTAAAATTTGTTAAACAGGGTTCGTAGCCAAATTATTCAAAAAAAATAAGCACTTTTCCAGCACTCAAAATATATTTTTAAGCACTTTAAAAAAATTTCATAATTAGGCAGGATAGGAAAGTTTTTGACAATTGACGGTTTTATATTGTATTAACCGTCATGTAAAAAAAAAAAATCAAGAAAAAAACAAACAAAAAAAAAAAAAAAAAGGAAANTGTTTTTGACAATTGTCAAAAATCATGAAATTTCGAATCCTGTAAAACGAATTTCATACGCTACGGACTGATAGATAATACGCCGAAATAGATTGGGATTGAATTAATTGGGAAAACGTTGAATAGAACAATGTGAACTGTGTCTTTTTGCATAATTCGTAGTGAAAATCAACATGGTAAAGGAAAGATCTCATTTTGAAAAGGGGAAATTTAAGCACTTTTTAAAAACACCCATTGAAAAAAGCACCTTTAAGGGCTTTTAAGAAACGAAAATCGAAAATAAGCACCTTCAAGCACTTTTTAAAAACGCTACCCACCCTGTTAACGAAAAAGAAGCCCTCTGCATACTGAGGATTTATATAAAATATAATTGAAAATTATTGTCAATAGTTATTTGTGTTATTCATTCTTCACATCATTATAATATTAACATAGTAAAAAATTTTATACGTATTAAAAACGATTGTGCAAAACGTTTAAACATATATTTTTTTTTACTTTTTCCTTTTTAGTCATTTCTTTCCGCGGTGTTTAACATATTTTTTATATTCTATATCAGAGATCACGTGACATTTACCTAGGTTCGTCTGTCGAGAAAGCCAACGTTGCATGATAGTGCCTCTAGGATCCAAAACATATACATCAACGGCATCAGAAAAAGCTTTCATGTCCGTTGTAACTGGTATGGCACGGAAAAAAACTAAATAAAAGAGATGCATTTTTTTATTCCACAATATAACTAACAAGCATAAATTGAAAGTATAAAAAATAAACAAAAATGTGGCATTTCTGATTTATAGGGTTATTAATGGCTAAACGGGACATAAATTGAAATGTTTACTTTTATTTCTACAACATTGAATTTCAGTAATATAATTATTTGTATTCTATGGTGAAAAATTCGTTTGCAAGTGGCGGCAATTGTAAACTAACCAGGAATATCAAAAGAAGAAATGACGTCACTATTCAGCTATGACGTCACAGGAAAACAGCAAGACCTCTGGTAGTATTTTTTATTTATTTTATTTTATTTATTTATCTATTTTTTAATATAGATGTTGAATACTTTTATTGAATTCTTCTTTTCATTATTTGAAAAGAATTTATAATAGGTATTGTCAATAGGTATTAATATTTCACTTATAAACTAAAGACAAACCCCGTTTTATTACAGAAAAAGTGGTTTTTTTATACGTTTTTCATACATAAGATGACAGTTGCATAAAAAAAAAACGTTTTGAACCGTTAACAAGATTCAGTTTAAACTTCGCGGTTGAATGCAAGGTAAGTTGGGATTTTTTTGAGTATACACATGTTTATTTATAAAAATTGTTTACGTTTCTGCCATTGCTGTTGTTTATTTATCGGAAAAACTGTCGAAATACGACGTTTCTGAATCTAAGAGACTCGCAGGTGCCTATTTTAGCGAGTTTTTAAAGAATTTTGCTATGTTATTTTATAAATCCGAATGTTTATAGTAAATTTGTAAATTTTTTTCCGTTTCATATGACCTATTATCTGCTCTCTGTACTCGCTGCGCTATTGTGAGTCTCACATATTAGCGAAGATTGCGAACATATGAATCTCGTCTTCTCAGTACATTTAAGGTCATTTTTTATCATGACGGGTTTTATACATTTTAAAACAATTCTCAACAAATCGACCACTTATTTTAATACATAGATAACAATTAGACTAAAAACAAATTTGAAAACTTGAGTTTAAAAATTTGCATTTAAAAATTCAATGCATTGTATTTGTTGCACTGTAATTAAAATAATGTAATTTGAATGAGCTTTGCATTCTTATACAGTAAACGAATAAATATTGTACTTACCAGTTTGATCCTGCATATATATAGGTTTGTCAGTCTGTATAAAAATAGTCATAGATTTTTGAGAATATTGAAGCTCAGTTTCATTATAAAAAGCAGTACCGCTCAGTACACCATGTACATCTCCCTCTACTTTCAATTTGTAACTTCCTAAAAGACTAGTTGGGGGAATCTGAAATCATATCATCATTTTGCACATTATAAAATATTTGTCTTATTTACAAAGCTTTTAAGAAAAATTAAAACTAACTTTTAATAAGAGTGTTTCTGGTATGCCAGATCGGCACTCCTGAGTAGCAGATGCCAATTCCACTCCATCCCTCTGTACAGAAGCTCGAACACTGATTGGACTTGAAGATTTAAAGACAGCAACAGATATACTATACACTTGACCAGGACGAACAGTTTTAGAAGCGGTCACAAAATATGTTCTGGAAAAGATAAGCATTTTTGTTTTGTTGCCATAGTAATAAAGAACAACGACAGTACAAACTCAATCACTTCAAGACAATTATGATAAGTAGAAATTCAACGCAAAGAGAGAGAAAGAGAGCGAAATAAATGAAGTAAAATAAGAAGAGTAAAAAAAAATAAATCATCATTAAATATTGCCGAAAAATATCCTTAAAATATTTTTTAACATCATTGTATAATATTTTAGTATAAAATATTTTAACATCATTGTATAATATTTTAGTATAAAATATTTTAACATCATTGTGTAATATTTTAGTATAAAATATTTTAAAATCATTGAATGATATTTTAGTGTAAAATATTTTAACATCATTGAAAAAAAAATGAATAAACAAATACAAAATAAACATTTTAGTTTTAATCTTTGTAAATAAATAAAACAGAAATGATGATGAGGTTATGGTTGAAGAGGAGGGACAGGGTTTGTAAAATTGTGACAGTTTGTGGCAACGTTTAGGGAGGAGGAAACCAGAAGCGTATAAATGCAGGTTCTGGTTAAAATAAAACCTTTAAAATCACAGGAAGAAGCCAGAAGCGGAGCAGTACAGTTTTTAGCGAAAATAAAGTATTTAAAATCACAAATTTAATATTCTCTTAAAATTATTTTTTTTATTTATTTTTTTATTTATTTTTTTCTCAACAAAATAAGTATTAATCAAAATTATTCTTTATTTTTACACTCACAAATATATGCAAAACTAATGGTTAAAGTTTAAAATTAAAACTTAAAAGATAATTTATAGCTCATGATTTTTTTTTGTTTTTTTTTTTTTGAACTGATGGATTATGGCGTGAGATGGGACAATTGAGGCATGCTAAAGTGCCTTACTTTTCGACAAAGGGGAAGAGAGTGGACAAAAATAATGAAAGAAAAGTGTAACATTTATGAATGGCAATTTAAAAATAATGAATAATTTTCGGTTTAATACCATACAGGTTTGCAAATTCTAGACTAATTATTAATATAAGAACTTATTTGTTGACATATCTGGATATACTTTGTTTATTTAGGATCGCTTTACTACTCGTTATTAAATGGAAGTAATTAAAATAATACTTTAAATTTTAGAAGTAATTGAATTTTAAAATATTGCAAGAGAATAAAAATAACTTTACTTATAGAAATAATAACCATAATCAAAGAATTAAAATTGTTGTACCTTTAGCGAAATTTTTTGTCATATTAAGAAATTGACATAAATGACTTAAAAATGTAAAAGAAAATAAATGTAAAGAAATCTCATAAATAAAAATCGACGAAGTTAAAAGAAAAATGAAAATTTAATTTTAATATATATTAAAATACTTAATTTATTTTACTTCAAGGTTCTATGTTGCAATTGAACCTACTAATGTTAAAAATATTTAGGAGATGGCAGCACTACAACTTCTATCGTTTGCAGTTTATTTTTAAAATCAAAAGATGGCAGCACTACAGAATAAAAAGATATAAAGTTTAGGAGTTAGAAGTTCAGTGCATATATTTTTTAAATAAAAATTTCCTATTATAATTCATGATTCACAGCGAAGATGTTTTGTTACAATTAAAAGCTTAATTATGATTAAATTTAGCTTAATCTGATGTTTCTATCATGTGAATAAAAAAGTTCATCTGTCAAAAAAAAGTAGTATAATCATCTATTTTCATAATGATTTTTAAATATGATAATTTGGATTAAGAGAATTTTCAAGAAAATATTCTTGACTTTTATTTCTTACTCTTTGTGTTAATACTAAATTTTTTGAATTTTTTTTTCTTTAGTTGAATTATGTTTTTAAAGCGTGGTTTAAAATACATTCGATAGAAAAAATAAGCCTAAATTATTTCAGATATTTAGAGTATCAAACAAGATTTATTTACTTTTAGTCATTAAATGTTTATTAGAAATGCATTTTCAAAAATTTGTTGGTGACCTTTCATCACAGATAAATGGTAAAATAAATCTGCCCCGGGTGAGGATCGAACTCACGACCTTCAGATTACTCCTTAGAGTGATTATGAGACTGACGCGCTGCCTACTGCGCTACCGAGGCTTGATACTGTATCAACCAAGTACAGTTTAATACTTTATTTTCATGAAAAATTAATATTAGAATTCTCTTTTAATTCATTATAGATTTGGGTGAATTCAATTATGTACACTAAACCTGTTACCGGTTTTTAGATTCTATAATAGAAAGTATAATTGAATATTTTAGCATTTTTTTTTCTTGTTCAGCACGCCATTTACCTTTTACATTTAAATTATTAAACATTTATAAGAGAGTTCATTCAAAAGATAAATTCATTATTTCGATATTTACTTTAAATTCCAGGCAAAAGACACATGTTCATAATTTAATTTTTTAAATTTAAAGCGATACAAACTTTAAAGTGAAGTTAAAATTTAAGTTCCATGCGTTTACACCTCAATAGATTCCAAATAAGGAAGAGAAAGTAACATAAAATACGAAGATTGTTACATAAAAAAAACAAAGGGACTTACGGTTCGTGCTTTATTCTCTGAGGACTAATGCTTTCTTCATAGGAATCTTGAATAAGACAAAGTAGTGTCGGTATCCATGCTAGAATGAAGATCCACCTGAGAATCATCTTAAATCCTATGAGAAATAAAATAACTGTTAATAATTCTCTAGTTTAACAGTTAATAATTCTCGAACAAATTACCGAATTAAATAAATAATCGCTTAAACATGTATGCTAGAATAAAGATCCACCTGAGAATCAACTTAAATTCTGTGAGAAATAAAATAAATACATAACTGTTACTAATTCTCTAGTTTAACAGTTAATAATTCTCGAACAAATTACCGAATTAAATAAATAATCGCATAAATATCCATGTTAGAATGAAGATCCACCTTAGAATCATCTTAAATCCTATGAGAAATAAAATAAATATATAACAGTTAATAATTCTCTAGTTTAACAGTTAATAATTCTCGAACAAATTACCGAATTAAATAAATAATCGCATAAATATCCATGTTAGAATGAAGATCCACCAGAGAATCATCTTAAATCCTATGAGAAATGAAATAAATATGTAACAGTTAATAATTCTCTAGTTTAACAGTTAATAATTCTAGAACAAATTATTACCAAATTAAGTAAATAATCGCAAGAAAATAAAGCCCGAAGATATTACTTTTTGAAAACTTCCTTCGCGTCAAAAACATACAAATCAGAAATAATAATCGACATGTTTCAAACGCTCAAAAAAAGGCTCCCATTTTCAAGACTTGCCAGACGTGAATGAAAAGAAAATTTACGATTTCTTCTCATTCACATCTAGCAAGTCATGGAAATGGGCGCCTATTTTTGAGCGCTTGAAACATGTCGACTATTATTTCCGATTTGTATTTTACTTACCGATTTTTATTCGTTCAGATTACTGATTTGTTAATACTTCTGTACTTCAGTAAGAACTCGCCATTAGTTGATTCCCTTCATATTCCCCGGTTACTTAATCTATGTAACCAGGCACTTAACCCACACAAACCTTAACACCCATGGTTATTGAGTACGAATTTTAATATCGCAATGCTTTATCAAAAATATATCGCGATATTTTCGCAATTAATCTAATTGGTGTCAATATTTTGTTATCCAAAATAAAATTTAGCAGCATCCACAATAGTTTTGTATTCAATAATTATCGCTTTGTATAATATTCACGACTATAAAAATCTCACCCACTCTCCCTTTATGGCCAACGACAACATAAAGTTTGTAAATTTAAAATTCGTGATAAAAAATGATGTGAACAATTAATTATAATTAACTATAGGCGGGTATTAAAATGCTTTAGTATAAGAATTTAATAGATTTAAAAATCTTAAAAATGAAATGCCATTTGGACGAATAAGTATATGCATATTTATGTTGAAAATCACCACTAACGGGATGATGAAATATAATATTTCGATAACTTATGTTAGCCTACGTATTTGTTTCTAGCCCGCTTTACTTTACTGAAACTATGGGTTTAGCGAGCTTAAAGGATATTTAATTTTTCCTCGTGGTTTCATCTGCTTCTATTTTTTTTAAATATTTTTTAAAATTGCTACTTCCATGACGCGCATGTTTTAATCTATAACAACGGTTTTCAAGAAATTCGTAATTTTGTTACTATGCCCGAATCTCATAACGCCAGTAAAAGGTATTTATTTAAAAACCATTTCTTGGAAAATTTGCCAAGTGGTGAAAAAAAATCCGATCCAAAACGGCGCTCCAGTTCTCGAGTTATCAGCGAAAATACATCTAGCAGGTTTTCGCTTTTATGTAAACATGTTTCCATAGATTCAACTTAGAATTTTTCAGTTTTTCAGCCTTTTATATTATTCTTTAAGTTGCATGTCTATGATCCAAAACGGCCCTCCCGTTCTCGAGTTATCAGCGAAAATACATCTAGACGGATTTTCGCTTTTATGTAAACATGTTTCCATAGATTCAACTTAGAATTTTTCAGTTTTTCAGCCTTTTATATTATTCTTTAAGTTGCATGTCTATGATCCAAAACGGCCCTCCCGTTCTCGAGTTATCAGCGAAAATACATCTAGACGGATTTTCGCTTTTATGTAAACATGTTTCCATAGATTCAACTTAGAATTTTTCAGTTTTTCAGCCTTTTATATTATTCTTTAACTTGCATGTCTATGATCCAAAACGGCGCTCCAGTACTCGAGTTATCAGCGGATATACATCTAGACAGATTTTCGCTTTTATGTAAACATGTTTCTATAGATTCAACTTAGAATTTTATCAATTTTTCAGCCTCTTATATATTTCTTTTAGTTGCATGTCTATGATCCAAAACGGCGCCGTTCTCAAGTTATCAGCGAAAATACTTCTGGACAGATTTTCGCTTTTATGTAAACTTGTTTCTATAGATTCAACTTAGAATTTTATCAATTTTTCAGCCTTTTATATATTTCTTTTTGTTGCATGTCCATGATCCAAAACGGCGCCGTTCTCGAGTTATCAGCGAAAATATATCTAGATTGATTTTCGCTTTTATGTAAACATGTTTCTACAGATTCAAGTTAGAATTTTTCAGTTTTTTAGCCTTTTATATTTTTCTTTAAGTTGCATGTCTGTTCCGCGCTGTTGTAAAATCTATCAATGTCATTAAAATAAACAAAATAATGCTTTAAGATTAACAAAATAAAAATCTAGAAAATAATTAAGGAAATTAGGAGGGTGTAGGAGGAGCGGTAGCCAACGAAATAATTAGAATCCGGTGTTGATGGCCGGATAAATCACAAGCAGAAAAGCAGGAGTTTCTTGCCCTTGAAAATAAAATCGTGTATGTGAGAAATAACAAAAAGGAAGAAAACACCTGTTTAGGGTTACCGTAACAAATGATTTTGAAGGTAAAATATCCAGTTATTATGTCGCCATTTAAATCTTACTTTTCATTTACTGAGAAAAGTTTTGTTGCATATTCTTTTGACGAAAAATAAAAATAAGAGCTTATTTTGTTCAGTTAATTTATTTGACTGTATTGTGCAGTATATCTTGAGAAAAATTGGGGTCTTAGGAAAGAAAAAAAAACATGTGGATACTTTCATATAAACATACAGAATTTTTTTTCGTTCTCTTTATTAATTTTTATTAGTTTTATTCTTAAAAACTAAACCTATTGCTTCATGTTAATTTTTTAATTAATTGACTCCATTTACTTATTAACTTTCATCGCTTATCCACTTTTAGGAAACTTTTGCCACTAAATATGTGCACAGAATAAGCACTTCGGTAATAATAAATAATGAAATAATAAATATATAAATAATAAATACATAAATAATAAATATATAAATAATAAATACATAAATAATAAATGTATAAATAATAAATATATAAATAATATATATGTAAATAATAAATATATAAATAATAAATATATAAATAATAAATAAATAATATACATAATGAGTAGTCAAATATTCCCTAATTCCAGCATTTAAATATATGTTTAGAATCATATCCAAAAAAATTAAAAAAAAGTATTCACTCAGGGGGTCGAGCATATATATCTAGTTTATAGTTAGGCAATGAAAAAACGCTATCAATATAAGGCGAATTAGTACTAAAGATATAAAGGAAAGCATCACTAAAAAACACTAAAACCTGTTTGATTGCTGGAGGAAACAATAAAGAATATGGTGAAGGTGATTATTAGAAACAACTTCGATATTCATCTGGCGATAAAACGAGTTATGTCTTTCGTCAGAGTTTGGTAGCATTTTTTTCTGCTTAAAAATTTGTGAACTCTAATATGGATACTTTTTTTTAGTTTCATTTTTAATTAATTTTACAAAAATATAGATCAAGTAGCAAAATAAAAAGGCAAGGAAATACTTGGGTGAAGCATTGGGACAAACTAGCCTTCATGAAGGATTTTTTGTTGGAACTAAACCACCCTTGCGTTACAAGAAGAAAACCACGGAAACCTCCAGATTTACCACGACTGTAAAGGGGTTCTAACCCAGGATACGTCTACCACTGAGGATATTTTACGTCAGAACTGTGGTCGATGCGAGGTGGAAGCAGAATTCATATCAACAAGTAGTGGCTGGGAAGCGAACCTGGGTCGCCTCGTTGGGAGGCAAGGGCTCTATTTTCTCAGCCACAGCGTCTCAAAACAATTAATTAAATATGTGTATGTTTTTTTAATTATATAAAAGATAAATATTTCAAAAATATATATTAAGGGCAGTTTTACTTTCTTTAAAACGGCATTCATTTTTGTCAAACCTATAATGCGTTTTCTTTTCTTTCTCTATTTTTTTAAAAAAAAATTTCATTTTGAATCCTTTCAATCTCGATTGTTTAAAATTTAGGTATAAAAATAATGATTTATTGATTATCCTGTTTTCGTGTTAAAATTTCACAATAGCGTAAAAATTATCCATGAAGCATATTTCGATCATATACTCAGTATTAAAAATTACGATGTAACCAAATTTAGTTTTTCAGTTATTTTGGTTGTCATTTTAGGATTATTACGTAATCTTTCAACAAAAAAAAACTATCAACCTTCAAATCTATCAAGAAGCGACACTGCATCATTAAACATTTTTTCCTAAATAGTTTAAATATTTTTAAGCAATAAAATAATATATTTTGTTGTTCACAAATATTTAATAAAAAGTATGCATCAATTTGCATTAATTATTTTCGTTAATATGTTTTAAAAGGAAATTGACATTAACTTTTTCATTCTAACAATTCTGTTCGATTAAATTGGCATGTGTAGACTTAAAATCGGTTGAACTAATTTAAGTCTTAGTTCCATTTAGTTTTCAACTTTAATATTTGTGCTACATAAAATTTTGTCTTGGGTTTCAAATTGTTTTAAGTTTATTTACATATCAATCAAAATTTATAAAAAATATTTTAAAAAAATATCATTATTATTGCATTATTATTTCAAGCATTATTATCTCATTATTATTATTACTAACAAACGCTCAACAAATAATTCTAGTACACTCTATATTGAGATCACTATAGTGATTGAAAGAATGTTTCATTTTATTTTACCATGCACATAGCATATACACAGTTGAAAGATATAAAAAAAGCAAAATGCTCA